TAATATGTGAAATATTAAAAAAAGCAATAAAAATTCAAAGGGGGGCTATTAATTCTGACTTAAACTGTATGTATATATATATATATATATATATATATATATATATATATAGACACATACGTATGAATGTATAATCCTAATGCAGGTTAATAGTATTCAGGCAAGCAATGGTCAATAAAGGTGTAATCAGGTATATTGAGACAGTCCAGAATCACAGTCGAATAACAGGCAAAAGGTCAAATGGCAGGCGGCAGACAAGGACAAAAGGATAAGCTAGGCTAGGGATCAAAAACACGGCAAAGGCAGACAAAGGAAAACGCGTTGTAATGTCACTGATACAGCTAACAAGACTCTGCAACATGTGTGTGGAAAAGAGGGCTTTAATTAGTCCAAATAATCATTGTGTGAGTGGCTTCAGCTGTGAGAATGCAATCAGTGTGGATCTAGAACCGGTTGTGTGTGTGTGTGTGTGGCATGACTGGGTGTTGTAGTCCATAACATGGCAGATATGTAGTTCAATGAGTGTGAATGTTTGTGTGTGAGTGTTTACCAGTGACATCTGGTGGTTGTTCGCTGGTGAACATGACAATATATATATATAAGATATTTCCCAAATGATGTTAAACAGATTCAGGAATTTTTCACAGTATTTCCTATAATATTTTTTATTGTTTTAAAGCCATTTTAGGGTCAATATTATTAGCCCCCTTCAGCAATCTTAGTTTAACACACCACTGTTATACAATGACTTGCCTAATTACCCTAACTTTACCCTAATTACCCTAGTAAAGCCTTTAAATGTCACTGTAAGCTGAACACTAGTGTCTTGAAGAATATCTAGTCTAATATTATTTGCTGTCATCATGAAAAGAGAAAATAAATCAGTGATTAGAGATGAGTTATTAAAGATATCATGTTTAGAGATGTAAAAAACACACTGTTGAACAGCACTTGGGAAATATTTGAAAAGATCTCCCAGGATGGCATCATTTTGCTTTCAACAGTACCTATTAACTGCACCTACTTTAAAGATGTGTATTATAACTCGCATAAAAGTAAGCTCCTTTTAATGTTCTGTGTTTTAAACAGCATCACGGCCAGTCTCGACTATTTAACTATGCGATGGATGTTTTGAACATGGTTTTCACGGGCGTCTTTGCTGTGGAAATGATTCTCAAGCTGGTTGCCTTCAAGCCGAAGGTACGTTTATTGAGTATATGCCGAGTATGATTGTGGGAGCGCTTGAAAACCCCATCTTGTGATGTTGATGTTAACCCTTCTGCTCTCCTGCGCTGGGCTCTGCCTGCATTCCCGCTCAGGGTTATTGTGTGGATCCCTGGAATGGTTTTGATGCTCTGGTGGTCATTGGCAGCGTAGTAGACATCATTCTAAGTCAGGTAGACCCTCGCCGCTCACCTGTCCTCTCTCTCACCTGCTCATCATCTGTGTGTAAATCACTGCTCGCTCACTCGCTCGTCCTTCAGTGTGTGTGAATGTGTCTGACACTCTGACTGCAGGGGGGAATATGCTTTCTTGTCGTCATGGTTACAGACTCGAAAATCCGAAAATGGCTCATTAGGAAATAATCTCACGGTAGCTGTCAAGAGCGTGCGTCTCAAATCATCACACCTGTTTACAGATATATAACAGTATTTTCATGACACTTGAACACATTTGCTCATTACTCATCATATTGAGTATGTTTTTAAATAATCAAGTTTTTGTTACAGTGTTTAGGCGTCAAAGTCCTGGATTTTTTGTAAAAGTCTAATAAGATATTAAGGGATGCTAGCCACATGCTAAACTATATTAGAAGCTTAAAAACATGCTACGAATATGTTAAAACCAAAACAGAGTGTTGAAACAGGCCAATATTGTGTTTAGCATGCTAGCTGCATGCTAAAACCTGCTAGAACCTTCAAAACATGCAAGCTGTATGTTAAAATGTCAACATGTAAATCCAGTAATGTTAAACATTCTAGCTACATGCGGATATATGCTAAACATGCTACTACAATTACACATTGTAGATGAATTAACATATAGCTAGCATGTTTTAAAGTTTCAAGCATATTTTAGCATATAGCTAGCATGTTTAGCACTACTAAATGTACACATTGTTGATTAATTAACATATAGCTAGCATGTTTTAAAGTTTAAAGCATATTTTAGCACGTAGCTAGCATGTTTAGCACTACTAAATTTACACATTGTTGACGGATTAACATTTAGCTAGCATGTTTTAAAGTTTTAAAATGTATTAGAAGCTTTAAAGCAATCTGTAAAAACATCAACAGCGTTTTAACAGACTGATAATGTTTTAAATATGTTAGCTACATGCTCAAATATGCTAGAAACTTCGAAACATGCTTGCTATGTGTTAATTCATCAACAATGTGTAAATCTAGTCATGTTAAACATGCTAGTTACATGCTAAAATGTGCTTGAACCTTTAAAGTAATCTAGCTATATGTTAAAATGTCAACAACATGTAAATCTAGTAGTGTTAAACATGCTAGCTACATGCTATGTTAGAAACTTTGAAACATGCTAGCTTTATGTTAAATCATCAACAATGTGTAAATCTATTAATGTTAAACATGTTAGCTACATGCTAAAATATGCTAGAAACTTTAAAACATGCTAGCTATATGTTAATTTATCAACAATGTGTAATTGTAGTAGCGTTAACCATGGTAGCTACATGCTAAAATATGCTAGAAACTTTAAAACATGCTAGCTATATGTTAATCTGTCAACAATGTGTAAATTTAGTAGTGCTAAACATGCTAGCTACGTGCTAAAATATGCTTTAAACTTTAAAACATGCTAGCTATATGTTAGTTCATCAACAATGTGTAAATTTAGTAGTGCTAAACATGCTAGCTATATGCTAAAATATACCTGAAACTTTAAAACATGCTAGCTATATGTTAATCCGTCAACAATGTGCAAATTTAGTGGTGCTAAACATGCTAGCTACATGTTAAAAATATGCTTTAAACTTTAAAACATGCTAGCTATATGTTAATTTATCAATAATGTGTAATTGTAGTAACGTTAAATATGGTAGCTACATGCTAAAATATGCTAGAAACTTTAAAACATGCTAGCTATATTTGAATTCATCAACAATGTGTAAATTTAGTAGTGGTAAACATGCTAGCTACATGTTAAAATATGCTAGAAACTTTAAAACATGCTAGCTATATGTTAATACGTCAGCAATGTGTAAATTTAGTAGCACTAAACATGCTAGCTACATGCTAAAATATGCTAGAAACTTTAAAACATGCTAGCTATATGTTAATCCATCGACAATGTGTAAATTTAGTAGCACAAAACATGCTAGCCACATGCTAAAATATGCTAGAAACATTAAAACGTGCTAGCTATATGTTAATCCGTCAACAATGTGTACATTTAGTAGTGCTAAACATGCTAGCTACATGCTTAAATATGCTAGAAACTTTAAAACATGCTAGCTATATGTTAAACTGTCAACAATGTTTAAATTTAGCAGTGTTAAACATGCTAGCTACATGCTACAATATGTTAGAAAACATGCTAGCTTAAACATTAAAACCAGGTTAATCTAATGTTAAACATGTTAGCGACAATCCAAAACATAAACAGTCTTGAAACATGCTGGTGATGTGTTAACATGCTAGCTACATGCTAAATATGTTAACAACATGCTAGCACACAGCACTTATATCTATTAATGTAGGATTAATGCTTAATAAATGATGAGCTAGCTATTTATTAATGATTTATAGCGTTCAGCTATTATAAAGTCTTACTGAATTGGGTTTCTACACTGCTTTGTCATTGACTAGCACTGACTTTCTAATTAGCATTAATCTAGACAGTGAAATACTGGTTTTTGCTAGCTGTTAAGCAGAATGAGACAGACCCGGTGCTTGATTCTCTCTGTGTGTTGGGCTGCAGCGTCATAACTGTGATTCTCTTCTGTCTTTTCTTCCCTCTTTCTGTCTGTCTCGATGTTTCTTCTTCTGGTTCTCTGTGGTCTGTTGGCTGGTGTCCGCAGCATTATTTTGCTGATGCATGGAACACATTTGATGCCTTAATTGTTGTCGGTAGCATCGTTGACATTGCAATCACAGAAATCAATGTAAGTAAACGTGTGCTTCAGGCTCAGTCGACTGTGTTGTCTGTCTTTTTTATTGTGTAGATGTCAGAAGGTCAATTATATATGCACGATTCTCACAAAAGGTGCCATTTTTCACATTTGACTGCTGGTATAATCAGTAGTAATGTATCTTTGCAATATGCTGAAAATATGTATATTTACATAAATATCAGCAGACTTCCAGTTTCATTTGGTTAGTTAAAAAATTGAGGGAAACTATCAGTTTTAAGGTTTATTATGTGTGAGGTTTGACTATATTATATTTTCAAAACAATACAAACATGCAGAATTCAGGTACAAGTGGTGCCCTTTTTTGAGAATTGCCATAGTCATGGTAATATTAAAGATATGCTGTGTGCTATATATACATAGTTGAACAATTCAGTTAAAGATAAAAGGATGTCTTTTTTAATTGTTTAACTTGTGAAACTGTGTTCACATAGAGGATAATATCACCACCATAGAAAAGAAAAACAAGTGTCACATTTTTATGACTTTTCCATTTTTCTGGGTTTATAAATGTGAAATGTAGACTTGCAGAGATGTGCTGTAAACTCTGAGTTTTGAAAAGGTCAGAAATAATGGATATAAACACAGAATTTTAACCTAAAAGTCATGCCTAAAAGTTTTGCCTCCAAAAAGCAGTGCAGGATAGTAATGTTAGAATGTTCAAAGAAGAAAGCCAGAAATGTTACAATTCAACCAGAATTGTTAAAAAAAGTCCAAAAATGTTAAAGGAAAAAGCCAGATTTGTTGAAATAATTCTAAATTGTTTAAAGAAAAACAGTCAGAAATATTCAATGAAAAAAGAAAGAATTGTTCTTAGAAAAAAAGTAAAACTGTAGAAAAAAAAAGTTGAAATTGATTAAATAATAGGTCAAAATCGTTTAAAGAAAAAATCCAGAATTTATTTTAAAAAGCCAAA